GCGGCATTTTGAGTACTCCTGCAAGCGATGTTCACTGAACGACTGAAAACAAACGGCACGGCGATTAAAATTACAAGAGAGACTACCAACAATCAATAAAAGAAATATAATTCGGTGAAACATATACAGAGACAACATTTTTCGTTCACGAAGACAAGTATTAAAGTGTCTCTAAAAATCCTGAGTCTTCAAGCTTAAAACTTAAGTTTATGTTTTAAGCCGGCTTCCCGGTATTTACTTTTTTCAAAGATGAACTTGAGGCAAGAAAATCGCTCAAAGCTTTCTTTTACAGCCAGAGTTATAACTAAATGTTCTTTGGAACGTTTTCTTTCTATTTGCGGTAAGAAAATGTCTAAAGGCTTTTTAAAGTTCTGTAAGCTTATATCAAACCTGATTCTTGGTCATATCAAATTGTCTCAAATCTTACAAAAGTGCATAAACTACACAGCCGCATAAACTGCGCTCGACTTCATTAAATTAGATACAGCTGTAGATATAAAAAACAAACATCAAACACAGTAATTACTGAGGCTTACCATTCGAGATGCAGCTCCTGAAAGGTATCAAGGAAGGCTAGTATCTTTTCAGACTTTTCAACCCTTACGCATCGAGCAAGGTGAAAAGCGAAATCGATGCTATCCGAAATCGGATTTCCGACTTTGACAAGTAATGTATTAATTTCTCAACCAAAATCCAACTAGCCATGAATAACATAAGACTCCTGACAGCAGCTGAATTTCATTTTGTGCTTCCAGTGGAAAAAGACAGTTAAAAACATCACACGTTGACACGAAACTGTCAGCTTCAGCTGTCAAAGTAAACAAGATTCAATATGCTGCATAAATTTTCCGCATGAGCTCACCTGTCAAATTTTGACCAATCAGAGCATAAAAATTGGACGTAGAGCGTGACCAACGCGGGACCATGGTGAGCAAAGTCAAAAGCAACTGCCTTCCCTGCCTGTAATAGCTGGCTGAATTTTCGCGTCCGAGGTCAGTTCTAAATCAAAATTTTAATTGTGCGCCACAAACATAAAACATATTTCATATGAATTAAAAGCAATCAAACTTGAGCCTGCGATCATTTGAAAACTAGTAACTTGTCAGCGGGTAACTTCAAAAAATACTCGACCACGATGGGTCAACACCTGAGCCCGCGACACGGTCAAGGGATACTGGTCAGCGGATACCCTGTTTTGACAGCTGTCAATTGATCACAGCATTGATGTCCAATGGATGTGTGCATCATCAGTTTTCCTGTGCTCTCAAATTAGCTAGAAAGTATGAGATTGAACATTGATTGCGATCTAGTGAAACAACTGGTCAGCGGACAGCTTCCAAATAAATCACGTCACCTTGATGAGTTGACACATGAGTCCTCGATATGGCAATGTGATACTGGTCAGTGGCTATCCTGTTTTGACAGCTATCAATTGACCATATTGTGAATGGCCAATATAAAAGACATGAGTTTGCCAAGACACACCTGAGACACCCCTCCCTTCCCTTTGATAGTCTCCCCTACCCTACCCGTACAATCTGTAGACGCGTACGTACGTACGTACGTTTACGTACGTACGCTCGGTCAGTCACGTGACAACCAAACGAAAAGAGGTTGACCATATATTCTTTGAGTATGGGGCTCTGTCCCACGCGCGCTTCGCGCGAGAGGGAGCTCCGCTATGATTTTTTAAAAAAGCTATACATTACGTACATATAGGTATGTCAAACTGTTCTTATCGTTTTGTTTTGTTTTGCTTTTATTTATAAGTGACATCAGGCATAGTGTATAAATTTTAATACTTTACATTGATGATGACGAAATTTCAATATTTGACATAATGCAAAGTACAGAAATTTTGTTTTTTGAGAAATTTCCATATTTCACCTCATGCGGGATGTAAAATTATTTAACAGTTAATGAATGAGGCTGAGTATCTTATGAAGAATTATGGAGATCGAGGAAGGTGTTGTCCGTCGAGGCCGTAGGCCGAGGCGGATAACACCCTCCTCGATCTCCATAATTCTTCATATGATACTAAAGCCGAATTCAATAACTGTTTTATTATTCATTCAAAATAATTCCTAGTTTAAAAACATAGCTAAAACATGCTTACCTCCATCGATCCATCGATGTTCCGTTCATCTTCGATAGTGTACGTTTAGGTTTGTCCAGCTCCGCAAATATTTTCCAAATAGCAGATGTCGCCCTTCGAGTTATCTTCTTGCTTTTCTTGCCATGTTTTTAGCTATTTTTTCGACTAGTTCTTACTCTTGAAACGAGTGAAATGTCCGCCATTTTTTCAAGTTCACAACCAAAACAACTCAACCTCGTCCCCAGGTCTTCTCGGTTAACGGTGCCTTAACCTGCGAAAACGCTGCATTTTTGACGTCATTTCCTCGTTAAAGTCAAAATTCTTCCAAATTTGGTCATCAGTAACTGGTTATGGTGAATTAAACGTGTGCTTTTAGCCAATCAGAATCGGGGAAATATTTTGACTGAATAATAGTAATTATTAAACTTAAGGCACAAATATCGTCAGAAAATTGGCTAACATTATCAAGTAACATACCATTCTATTTAACCTTAGCTTGGCTTTCATCGCTTTCATTGTTCAGATATCTCTGGTTGCCTGACAGAAATCCTC